GAGGAAAAAGAAAAGGAACTCTCACCATTTGCCACAGCATGAATGGAACTGGAGAGCAGATAAATACCACATGATCCCACTCATTTGTGGAATTATAAGGAACAACATAAACTGATGAACAAGGACTGATCCAGAGACGGAGAGGCATTGATTGGATTGTCGGGCTTTGGAGGGAGGGTAGTGGAGGGTGGGGGTAAAGGGGAAAGAGCAACCAAAGCACTTACATGCAGGCATATAGGCCTAACCAATGGACGCGGACAACGGGGGGGAGGGCAAGAGCGGGGGGGGGATAGAGGGTAACGTGGGGACAAGGACACATATGTAATATCTTAATCAATAAAAAATATATTTTTAAAAAAAAGATAGATGTGGCAGGCAATGTCAGTGTGATCAGTGTATACAGAATAAAGCACTTAATAAAATCTCAGTTGTCACAAATCTGTTGTGTTATGCAATTTAGTTTAAAAATGTAGACCTACAAAACTCTAGATTATACGATGTAATTTTTGCCACTCATCAATTCCTCTGAAATCAACATTTCAATATAGAGATTAAAATACCTCCTAAGGGTAAAAATGGAATAGACATACACTTTATCATAAGAAAAAGTCTCTTTGCTTAAGAAAAGAAAATGAACTATTAACCACGGAATAACACTATATAGAGTGTGTTAAAATAATAAAAATTAAGCTGACACATGGGTTCTACGTACCTGTTACATAAATCTACTGGCTGCAATAAAAAAATAGAAAACAGTTCTGCACCAAAGAAGATATTAATGAATAGTTGATATCATGAACAATTTTTATACTTCTGTCAAAATAATTTATATTTTATATATTTTTTCCATAACAGCCTTTTATAAAGCATGTGGTAAATTGCCTGGTATTGTATTTTAAGGTAAATGTAAATTAACAGCATTCACAGAATAATACAAATTATTTATGTAACTAATAAATAGGCAAATTCCTCTGTAACTAATTAGATATGGTCAGGCAAGTAAAAGTCTAAAAAATGTGTCTGTACATATAAACTAATAACTCTTCATCTGCCAAACAGTATACAAAATTGGCTATTTGACTTACAACTCACATATAAAGCTCTCTCACCTTGACAATCTTCATACCTTCTTGAAACTCTTCTTTCATCTACTAAAAAAAAAAAAAAGACTAATTAAAAACCGATATGTTGAGTATAATGATTACTAGCAGATCACATCTTAATCTACAAAATCTTACTCTGACCACCATTCCTTGAATTAAATTTTGTTGTTGACCTCTTCCATCCCATAGATTAGATAATTTCATACACTGCAAATAAGGCCTGCTGTCAAGCACCCTTGGAACTGTAATGTCCAGAAAAATCTTACTTTCTAAATAAAAACTGGGTAGATAATTCTGCAGAGTACCCTTAAAATTGAAGATTTTCAATGAAAAACTCTTGAATGAATACACCTTTAGAAAAACCAAGTTAAGATAAATTAATACATTTGAACACCAAAATTTTTCAGAGTATACATGGACCATTTTGTAAATTAAGTAGGAACAAAATAAAGTAGAAAGAAAAAATAACTTGATAAATTTACTTTTTATAACCTGGGTTTTTGTTCCTTTTCAAAACCTCAAAATCTTATTATCTGTGGTGTTAATACATGAAAATACGATTTTCCAAAAGGGGAAGAATTTTCAAAGGCTATCCCTATTTTAGAAAAATTAAAAATTTTATGGCACTTACTTATATAGGTAGGATTTTAAATAAATCCTATTTGAAAAGCACAATGCATTAACCAAGGTTTGTTTTAAATGTATTTTATTGATTTTATTTTTTTTTACAGAGAGGAAGGGAGAGGGATAGAGAGTTAGAAACATCACTGAGAGAGAAACATTGATCAGCCCCCCCTGCACACCCCCCAACGAGGATGTGCCCACAACCAAGGTACATGCCCTTGACCGTAACTGAACCCGGGAACCTTCAGACTGCAGGCTGACGCTCTATCCACTGAGCCAAACCGGTCAGGGCAGCAAGGTTCGTTTTAAATAGCCCAATATATGTGATAGGAAAATAATGTAGGTAACTAGAGATGAATCAGTCCACAGCAAAACATCTATAATAATAAAAGCGTAATATGCAAATCGGACGAACGGCCCAACAGCAGAACGACCGTCCAGACAAAGCTGGAGCTGAGAGGGCTGAGCCCCTTGAACGATTTTGTGCATTGGGCCTCTAGTTTTATAATATTAGCCAATTCATAAAGGGTATTAGCACAACATATTTAATGACTTAAAGGCTGGTCAAATGAGATATGTTATGTACTTATCAGGTGAACAAATGTCAAAGTCCTACCATATGCCATAGCCCAGACAACAGGGGCAATTGTTTTATTAACATTAGAGTCCTCAAGCTGAGTTTCAGGGAGATAAGTTCCTTCCTCTTCCCCTACAATGATTTCCATATACTAGTAAATTTCATCTGCTATTTCAGCACAACCTAAATTTTAGAAATAATTGCTTGTTTATAACCCTAAATATTTAATAAATGGGTAAAAGTTCCAAACAATTTAAATCTTTTAACTTTCATTATTTCAATTTGGTTAATTTAAAAATTACAATAGACAATTTAGAAGCTAGTGCCACTGGGAGAAAATAATTTATCAAAATTATTTCTCTCCTCTTAGAACCTAGTCCTCCTATAAAAATGGCTTTTAGATTATATAAAATATGTGTGCTTGAAATATATTGACTGATTTTATAGTCCATTGGCATAACTATATTAAAAGAATTGTATTCCAGCCCTAACCGGTTTGGCTCAGTGGATAGAGCGTCAGCCTGCAGACTCAAGGGTCCCAGGTTGGATTCCGGTCAAGGGCATGTACCGTGGTTGCGGGCACATCCCCAGTGGGGAGTGTGCAGGAGGCAGCTGATCGATGTTTCTAACTCTCTATCTCTCTCCCTTCCTCTCTGTAAAAAATCAATAAAATATATATATCTTAAAAAAAATTGTATTCCATAATTCTGCCTGATAGTTATTTGGAACTCAGAAAGCATTTCCTGCAGCATCAATACTAGAAAAGTGGTCCATGATATCTCACATATTGCAACTTACATACGGTACTGTATATTCAATGAAAATGGTCAAAAATATTAATAATGAAAACATTTTAAAATCAAATATATATATATATATAATATATTACATGTCATATATATATTGTTGGTGCTCAAGAATATGTGGATGTCCTTTCAGTCAAAAGATAGGATTTTCTGAGACTTTATTAAAGGAAAAAAGCAATAAATGAGATTCATTAAATTGTCTTGAATTTATGCTTATCCTTTCATTCACATAATGAGATCTTCTATTCCCTACAGAAGAAACAAGGGGCACATGTGGGGAAAAAGTGCTCCTCTTCTTCTCAGTTTCTGTTCTTTCAATTAACCAGAAAAAGTCATTGGTGTAAGTTACACACATTCCCATAGAATTCTGGAATCAGGTAACCTAAGTCTCCATCTCCCACCTTCTACCGTGCCCCTTTACTTACCAATGATGAAAAAATAAAAATAAAGACTTTAGAGACCAAATAGAAATTATTTCATTTAACTCTCTACCTCTTCAATCAAATCCTTTAGACGAATTTGTTTCAATATTTTCAGGTATAGTATATTATTCATGTTTGGAATTAGAATCCAGTTCCCCGTGGCTTTTAATGGAAGGAAATTTGAGGAGTGGGGATCAAAATGCAATATAGGTAAAGATGGGTACTGTCAAGGTAATGCACTTAAGTGGATGCTCTTGCCCTTCTAGGGCAAAACAAAGCAGTTTTTGTCTTAGTATGGCAAGAAGACAGAAGAAGCCTTAGGAAAGGGCTGCATTCCTACAAAGAAGTGAGAAGAAAGTAAGCAGAGAATAAAATGTCTTCATAAGGAAATGGCAGGAAAGGAAATCTGAGGCTCTTTTATCACTCTGTGATACTCAGCCCCAAGAAGCCTTAAATAGCAAGTACTTGGAGACTATCAAAGGAATCATAAGTAAAGATTATGGCAGCTTGACTTGGAAAAATACTTACTCAACTAATCCCTCAGGGATAGTAGGCAAACAACCAGTTTCCCCTTTCACTGCTAAATCCAGATAAAGGCCAACAGTGGTAATTGCCATGTGGAAAAAACAGTGGCAGTAGAGTAATAGATAGGAATTCAAACCCTACCTTCCTCACTTAATATTGGAATGACCTTGGGTAATTACTTAACATCCCTGAGCATTTTTTTCCTGTATAAAATAGGGATAATACCACCTACTTCACAGATGAGGTGTGAGAATTAAATGAGATAATATCCACATGACATATCCATTAACACAGAGAAAGTAGATTCTCCATAATTCCCTGTATCTTTGTGGGTTCTACTGAAGCCAGCAACAGTATATTGCTGATCTCTGTATCCCTGGTATCTGGACATACTATTTCATATTTGCTAATTTGAGCAATACATGTATGTATGAATAATCAAAAGGACCCTTCCCTTTAAAATTATTTTAGCAAAGGGTCAAGCTTATTTTTAGTGGCTTTTTTTTCCTATATAGTGTTTGTATTTTTGGGAATACTTTATTTTTTAAAAGAATGCATGATGGCTACAATAAGTCACTCCAGTGCCCTTTTGTTCTTACTGATATCATCTTCTTCTTGAGAAGAATCTTTAACCGCCATGTAAACCATCTTCTCCCGTTGCATTCGGCTCTGGTCAAGCACTCCAGCTACAGAATGTCCATTGGTGTACTCACTCTCTGTGACAATTTCTGTTCCACCTTAAAAAATTAAAACACATATCAAAATAGAGAAGTATCATGGAATAATTTCTTAAATTAATGAGAATATAATAAATATTTTTTAGAAAAATATTCTTCCAAAATATTCCAATACAAATTTCTAAATGTCAAGAAAACTTTCTTATAATTTACAGTTTAACTTTTTATACATCACTGACAAATAACAAATATAACACATCACACTTATACGCCAAGCATTCTATAAGACCTTTACATGCATTTACCCATTTAATCTTCACAAAAGCCCCATGAGGTAGTTATTATCATTATGGCTTACTTTACAGATGAGAACACTAAGGCAGAAGGAGGTTAAGTAAATCACAAAAGGCTACTCAGGTAAATGGCAGAACTAGGACTGAAATCCAAGCAGGCAATTCTAGCCTGCCCTTAAATACTCATTATAATTTTCACCAATGAACTAAATCCTCTCTACTCATTTGTTTTCATATATCAACTGTAATATCCTACTCATGTTTGAAAGAACCTAAGTATGATATATTCTCAATTCCTGTTTCATATTTCATATGCATTTTTATATTCCATCCCCAAAGAAACCTATAAAAAAATCTGCACTTTTAAGTCAATTTATGTATAGTCTCTAGAAAAGATAAGAATAAGTTCTAATTATTGACTACTACAGCAAAAAACTAAGTCTTTGTACCTATTTCAACATCATCTTCAGCCTCAGCTTTAAATATATACACTTTTATTACTTCTGAACCAAATCCATCTTCTTTAACATCTTGTGAACCATCACTGCCGATTTTTAATGGTGTGTTCCCCATATGCTCCAATTTCCCCCCAACATCATCCACTGTAAAATATAAAAAAGTATATATCTCAGTCAAAAAGTAACCGACATTTAGTGGGTGTTAAGCATAAGTGCAATAAGAAATAGCATGTTAACCACCTACCCACTGTATTCATTTAATGACCTATTATACAACCATTAAAAGTGGTATGTTTCATGAAAAAAAGGTGTACAACAGATATACTACATGATGATCACATTATATAAAAAACTATTCACAGGTTTCAATTTATATATATACACATATATATGTACATATATAACATTTAATACCTATATAGCTTTAATTAAAATGGTTTGGGGAAGATAAAATAATCTTCCTTCACATTCAACATTTTAAGTTAAATCCTTCTACCAAATTTAATAACATAAAAATTAGAACATTCTAACAAATGTGAGGTGATACCTCATTGTCATTCTAATTTGCATCTCTCAGGTGATTAGTGACAGAGCTTTTTTCATGTCTCTTGGCCATCTGTATGTCCACTTTAGAGAAGTGTCTATTTAGGTCCTTTGCCCATTTTTTAATTGGATTGTTTGTCTTCCTTTTATTAAGTTGTATGAATTCCTTATATATTTTGGAATAACCCTTTGTCAGATGTATAATTGCCAAATATGTTCTGCCATACAGTGGGACCCCTTTTAATTTTGCTTTAAACTTAAACTATATAGGTAGGTACATTGTTATTAACCTACCTATATAGTTTAAGTACTGTTGATATTTGGTGCCACCACGCGCTGCATATCCCGCAGCCTGCCTGTGCTGCGTCTCCCGTTGTCCAACTGACCCACACCCCCCACTTCTTCTAACGCCACTTCTTCAAAATAGACTTGCCCAGGCCGAAAACCGACTACTGTGCATAGGCCACAAAATTTCAATCGCACTATATGTGCGCGCCCGCACGTGGTATTTTGTGGAAGAGCCACACTCACGGGGCCAAAGAGCTGCAGGTGGCTCGCGAGCCGTGGTTTGCCAACCATTGCCCCAGGAGATGTACATTGTCAGAATGGCTATCATCAACAAATTGACAAATGACAAGTACTGGTGAGGATGTGAAGAAAAGGGAATTCTATTACACTGCTGGTCAAATGCAGACTGGTATAGCCACTATGGAAAACAGTATGGAATTTGGTCAAAAATTTAAAAATGGAACTGTCATTTGACCCAGTGATCCCACTTTTGGGAATATATCCTAAAAAAAACATAAAACACCAACCAGAAAGAATATATGCACCCCTATATGCAGCACAATTTACAATAGCTAAGATCTGGAAACAGCACAAGTGCCCATCAACAGATGAGTAGATAAAAAAGCTTTGGTAGATGTATATCATGGAATACTATGCAGCTGTGAAAAAGAAGGATTTCTTACCATTTGAGGCAGCATGGAAGGACCTGGAAAGTATTATTTTAAGCGAAATGTGCCAGACAGAGAAATACAAGTATCATATGATCTCATTCACATGTGAAATCTTATGAACAAATTAAACTGATGAACGAAATAGATCCAGAGACACAGAAGCATGGAACAGATTGAAGAATCTCAGAAGGAAGGCAGAGGTGGGTAATGGGGTGAGATTAACTGGGAAACTTGTATGCATATATGCATAGCACATGGACATAGACAATAGTGTGGTGAAGGCCTGGGAGGGGCAGGTGTAGGGTGTATCAGTTCAATGGGAAAAAATGGAGGGGGGAGCCATCTGGAATACTCTCAACAATAAAGATAATTTTTTTAAAAAAAGTAGTGGTCATAAAATATGCTCACATAAAAATTCCCAAATTTAAAAAGTTATATTTCTAAAACCAAGTAACATATGGAATTTAGGGTTGGAAAAAAAAGAGGGAATACAGAAAATACCTGGTTTTATAAAAAGGACTTTTCAGAAATCATTACAAAATAAAATCTTAGTACATATCTTAATTTCTGCTGATTCAATGGAAGGCAACTTCAAACCAGAAATTTAGTACATTTCTAGATTTACCAACATATGCTATACTTCAAAATCATATACATAGGTAAAGCAATATTATTTGAGAATATTACTTACATTTTAAGTATACTTTAAAAATTTGATTTTTTGCCATTTTTTGCCTTTAAGAATATTAGTTTCACATGAATACTATGTACAAATTGTGCAATGAACATAATACACTCCCTTCTTTTACTATAAATATTAAACAATATATTCCCACCAAAAATTAAATGCTTACCAATTTTTATTTTAATGTTTGTCCCTAAGAAACTGAAATGTAATCTGAATTAAAAATCTGTTCTTCCCTATTATGTACATCATAGTGCCAAATAGGAAACATAAAATTGTGAAGTCTCTGACTACATCTAAACAATTCCAAAAGTACTAAAAACAGAATAAAAAGTGACAGTAGACAGTCATCAACCCATTACTCTTAATAATTGAAGATCAACTTTATGTTCTTTGTTTCATGTAGAATAACTTCCTTATGTATTTCCTGCAATCAAGGGTTTCTGGTGATAAGATCCATCAGCTTCCGTATGGATGGGAACATTTTTATTTCTCCTTCATATTTAAAGGATAATTTTGTGGGATATATTACTCGTGGCTGGTAAATTCTCTCTTTCAGACATTTAAATATTTGGTTCGAATCTCTTCTGGCTTGTAGGGTTTCTGCTGAGAAGTCTGATGAAATTCTGATGGGTTTTCCTTTGTAGGTCACTTCTTTCTTTTCCCTGGCTGCTTTGAGAATTTTTTGTCATTAATTTTTGACAGCTTCATTAACAAATGCCTTGGAGAGGGCCTCTTTGGATTGGGGACACTAGGTATTTGGTTTGCTTCTTGGATTCGAAGATCTAGTTCTTTCCATAGGTTTGAAAAGTTCTCATCCACTATTTGTTTGAATAGACTCTCTATTCCATGCTCCCTCTTCTCCTCCTCCAAAATGCCTATTATTCTAATACTGCTTTTTCTAATGGAATCAGATAGTCCTTGTAGGGCTCTTTCATTTTTTCTTCTTTATGCTCCCATCTCTCTCTTGTTAATTTCTAGATTCCTATCTTTGATATCACTAATTCTTTCCTCCATCTGATTGGCCGTTTTCTATGCTCAGTAGTTTACTTTTTTTAAAAAAAAATACATATTTTTAAAGAAGGGAGAGGGACAGAAAGATAGAAATATCAATGATGAGAGGGAATCACGGATTGGCTACCTCCTGAAAACCCCATTACTAGGGATCGAGCCTGCAACCTGGGCATGTGGCCTGGCCAGGAATGGAACTGCAACCGCCTGTTTCATAGTCGAATGCTCAACTGAGCCATGCCGGTTGGGCTCAGTAGTTTACTCTTAAAACATTTTTTGTTGTTGAAAGTATTACATAGGTCCTCGTTTTTCCATTAACCTTTTCCATCCTGCTCCTGTCCACCCCCCACCCAGTAGTTTACTCTTAATCTCTTTAATTGCATGCTTCATTTCTAGGATTTCTGACTTCTTCTGTAAAGTTTCAATCTCTTCGGTAAAGTACTCATTTTTTTTCATTGATTTGTTTTCAGAGTACATTGAATTGCCTGTGTGTATTTTCTCACATTTTATTATTTTCAGAACTGCAATCTTGAAATCTGTCATTTATATCACATATATCCATGTGTTCCAGCTTGCTTTCTGGAGTTTTTTCATTTTCTTTCTGATCATCCTCATTACCATGGTTATTCATGGTATTTCAAGTTCTTCTTTGCCTAAGCATTTATATCTGTCCATATTAGTGAAGAGGTTTTCCTACTATTTTCTAGTAGATGGCACTGAATTGCAAGATTTTTTTTTACCTCTGTGGTCTCCCAGGCTTGACCTCCACAGCTTCCCTAAGACAATACAGATATGCTGCTTGGAGGTGCAGTTTGTTTTGCCCTCACTGTAATCACAACACCTGACCTCTGTGGGGTCCTGCCCCAAGTACTCCTCCTGGGGATCAGTCACAGAGGGATACATACAGTGGTTCTACTGCAATAGCGCTTGGTTTATGGATAATATGCTCCTCAACCCAACTCCCAGGGCAACAGGAGGAGAGCTTTGGGAGTGGTGGGAGGGCTCAATTGTTGCACTTCTTATCTGAAATACCACGCCCTGGCCCAACAGTGGATTTCTATATGGCAGAACCCTGTGCTCTGTCAGGAGTCTATTGACTCAGTCACTGTTCATTCCAATTGCTGCTCGCCCTGCTTAACTGCCCTTCCTCGACAGTTCTCTGTTCTTCAAGCCAAAGGAAGCTCCTGCTACCACCAGCATCCTTCCTCTCCTGGGTGGGTGGTGAGCTCCTGCTTGCAGGGTTACATCAGTGGGCCATCTTCACTTTCCTCCATTCTTGTCTCCCCATTTATTCCTGGTTTCCCACCTCTAGATGTTTCAATGTGCTGGTCTCTCAGGCATGCGTCTGTGTTGAGCAGGGATTTCTTTGTTGAATTATAGTTGGTTAACTTTTTGACATTTATAATTTGTGAGAAAAACATAAGAGGGAGAAAAGTCTGAACTGGCAAAGGAGGATGAATATCAGATGCACTCAAAAGAAAAAATACTACAGTATATATACAAGTTTATTTTTACAAACCTAATAGTAACCACACACAAAAATCCCCAAACCAGGATACATAGCTTCAAAAGAGGAAACAAAGGAAAGAAGTATAGAATATAACCAAACAAAAATAACAGACAGAAACAAAGGAAAAGAACCAATGAAGGCACAGAACTACCAGAAAACAAAAAATGAAATGGCTATACATAATCCTCATCCATCAATAATTACCCTAAACGTAAATGGTCTGAATTCCTCAATAAAGAGGCACATAGTAGCAGAGTGGATTAATAAACAAAACCCAAACATATGCTGCCTATAAGAGACACATTAAAGCTGCAATGACAAAGGTAGATTCAAAGTAAAAGGGTGGAAAATGATTCTCCAAGCAAATAACATCCAGAGAAAAGCAGATGCAGCCATACATATGTCTGACAGAATAGATTTCAAGATGACAAAGATA